TTACAAAATTTCGGCACCTTCTTCAAACAGTCAAGTGTGTATCACAATATAAAGGCATTAAACATAAAACATTGATCCCATCATGACTAATGACTAATCCTAAGGTTCTTGATAAAGGATAAGCTTGCCAGTAATGCCTCCATAGCCATGAAATAAACCTATAATGGCAAAGGCTGCCTAGATACAGATTAACAGAATTGAAAGGGACTTAGTGGATCATCTAGTCCAGCCCCCCCCCCCCGCCCAAGCAGGAGACCCTACACCACTTCTGATAAATGGCAGTCCAATCTCTTCTTGAAAGCCTCCAGTGATGAAGCTCCCACAACTTCCAAAGGCAAGCTGTTCCGTTTGGTTGTTTGTTCTCACTGTCAGAAAATTTGACCTTATTTCTAGGTTGAATCTCTCCTTGGTCAGTTTCCATCCATTATTCCTTGTCTGTCCTTCAGGTGCTTTGGAAAATAGCTTGACCCCCCTCCTCTCTGTGGCAGCCCCTCAAATATTGGAACACGGCTATCATGTCTCCCCTGGTACTTCTAGGTCTTCGCTAATTTGTTGCTTGATTATCTTTTCCAGAATCTTTCCTGGTATTGAGNAAGGTCTTTTGCGGGGGGGGGAGGGAATTGAATATAGTAACAAAGATGCTGATGCTTTAGATTTGGCAGCGCTGGGTTTAGTTGCTGGCAACAAAAGTTTTCATTTTTTTTAAAAAAAATGTACAAAGCTGAAAAAGCCAGTATTCAGTTTCTGATGTAGATCAGATATACGTACAATACTACCACTGTGTGTGTTAGTGAAGGTTGAATTGGTGCTTGCTTGAAACCCACAAAAATGTTGACCGCCTCTTGTTGGATGGCTGCCATGTGTGTCCAAAGCAGCTGATTTACTAATAGACTGTGTACACAATCCCTTCATTATCTTGAATGTTTTGGAGTGCAGTTATTGAATTCAAGGGGCGATTTCACCCCACTCCCACCAAGTCAAGCAATGAACTGTAGAATGCGAGTGCTCGTCACGTGACCTGCAAGCTTGTAAGTGGGTCAACATAAGAATGATTGTGCGGGATTTACAATGTTAGACTTGAGAATGGGCAGCGATGTATCCCTGATCGCTTAAGGACAAGGCGGGAGCTTCTCTTATTCCATGAGAATCTGATGCTCAGAACATTTTGCCACAGGACATAAGACCCTAAGTTGGAAAGGCCCTTTGAGGTCAGCCTTTGCTTAATGCAGGATTTACAAAGTTGGATGCAATAATGGTATCTTTGACAGATGGCTGCTCAGCCTCTAGCCTCTCATGACTTCTGAAGCAACAGACTGCTCATCTTTTGGAGTTTTGAAGCCGTACAGAACATTTTCCAACTTTAAATCAGTGGAATTAACTGTTAACTCTGTTTGACTATGCCTCATAAACACTGTAATAACTGCAATCCATTATTCTTTTTTTTAAAAAAAAAGTTATGCTTAGTGGCAATATAGTAAACAACGGCAGGAGGCTGGAACGGTTCACTCTATAGGGAAGAGGAACTTTAAATGGCAAGGGATTGGATAAATGTTAACACTGACATTTCATGGTTGGGCAGCTCGGCTCTTACATGGTGTTGGCTGTAGAATTCAGTGCCTCCATCACTTCCTTCTCTTCCTTAAGCTAAGGGCAACTATTCTTCCCATTCCACTCTCATGCAGTGATTGCCTATAGTGTTGACTTTGCTTCTGCTAGAAATTAATACTTCAGGATAGTTTTGTGGGGTGAGGTATGTTTTTTTTTTCTTTTCTTACTGCGCTGTTAGATAAGTATTCATCTTGCTCCAACTTATTCTTATATATCCACAGTATATTCCTTAAATGTATTTCCCACCTCAGACTAAACATGTGAACATTTTAAGCTATCCATTACAAGAATCTTTTAAGATGACTTTAGAGATTGTCGGAGACCAGATCAGAACAGAAGAGAACATTTTATTTCGTCAAGTATGATCAGACACACAAGGAATTTGTCTCTGTACAAATGTGTTCTCAGTGCACATGCAAAGAACAGAATCGTCATCATCATCGGAGGGAGAAAATAAGATAATAAGATATAAATGATAATATTATATCCATACTACATATATATAGATATGAGACAGCAGTGTGAGAATTAGGTGTTTAGCAGATTGATGATGCGAGAGAAAAAACTGTCCCTGTGTGTAGTTGTTTTGGAATCCAATACTCTGTAGTGTCCTCCCAAGGGGAGGAGTTGAAAAAGATTATGTCCAGGATGGGAGCGGTCTGTATAAATCTTCTCAGCCCTCCTCCTGACCCACTCAATATATAATATTTTAGTTATATTACCCACATTTTGCATATGACCTTGACATCCACATGTTAACATACCAGTAATATATATATATATATTACATCATTTCCAGAAATGTACATTTCAAATGGATATTTTATGTTTTAGGCGGTGTCCATTTTTATTTATAAATTTATTTCTGATAAGCTTACCCACTTCTTCCATTAGAGCTGACTTCGGCTGGGTGTTATAAATTGGGTTAAAAACATGCAATATACATTTCAGTAAAATAGCAGCAAGCATGATTTATATAAAAATAATATATGGCAGAATTCAGTTCTGGGGATCTAATCCTTTTAACAACCCCTGAGCAAAAGTCAACATCTGTTACCAGAAATGACAAATACCACTCTAGACTATAAAACCTGATGAAAAAGCCATGATTTGATGGATTTTATGAAAGCCAGGAGCTATTTGGATATCTGGCAGAATATTATTTTATAGATGGGAAACATCTACTGAGAAAAATGGTCTCTGTGATGGCAGTGAAGATAGCAGACTACGAGTGAAAAGGCAGAGCAAGCCCTTTTGGGCGACCTTCAATTCAGTGTTGACTCTTGGAGACTGCTTGATGAGTCCCTGCAGTCGGCTTTGTAGAATTTCAGAAGTGGTTTTCCATTGCCTAGCTCCTAGGGCTAAGAGAAAGTGATTGGCCTAAAAGGTCAACCAGCTGGATTTGTGCATAATTCAGGTCATAGAACTCAGGGTTTCCCAGTTTCTAGCTGGTGCTTTAACCACTATGTCACACTGGCTCTCAAGCCTATTCTGGTGGGTTTTATTAGTGAGGCAGATACTCCTAGGAGAAAGTGGCCCTACATGCTAGATCACACAGGGCTTTAAACACAATCAACACCTTAAGCTAACCTGGAAGTTTATTGGCAGCCTTCTTTTTCTCTCCCTCTTCCATATTTTTATTTCCACAGGTTGTGACGATCACCTGTTATAGCCTTTTATGTCTCCTTTCATCTCTCCTTAACCTGTTTATTGCTCTGAATGCATGAACAGATAGGGTTATGTTAGCCTTGAATACCTAGATTTCACATAGACAGAATCTTAAAGAAAAAATCTGGAATTCTGGAATTCACAAATATTTTGTCTGTTCAGTTCTTTGCTGAACATACAGACATTAATATTCCTTTTTGTTGCTGTTGTGCAACTTAATTCTTCTGTCGCCCAAGGAGATGTGGAAAAGCATGTCAGTCAGGTATTAGTGTAGTACTTTAGTATATGTTTAGAAACAAAGTTAGGTAGTTTAGTTTATTGATTAGCCCATAGGCAATATCAAAATTAGAAACAAAGTTAAATATTTGGAATAGTCTTTTACAACCAACTCAGAAGATGGTCAACCAGTGGCACTTTTCAGCAGCTTAGACAAGGTTAAGTAAGTGGTGAGATATGGAAGGTGTTTCAAATTTATATCTGATAGAAAGAATTATGCTGCTCAAAAATGAGAATAGGTTGCAGTGAATTGCAGAAGCTAGAATATGATACCAAGTATGCAGTATTAGAATTCTAAAGAAATAGGCATTTTGTTGTGTCTACACACTTAAGATTGGCCTCTGCACATTTTCAAGTAGTTTATTTAAATATAGAAAACATCCTAGAATTATTTGCTACTAAATGACATTTCCCTAACAAAAAAGACATTTTAACAGGCTTTGATTTTAAAAAGCTAATAAATTAGTGGTTTTTGTATTCTTCCTGGTCCTTTCCATACTAATACTAGTTTCTCCATTTTTGCTCTTAATAGAGAACACATAATGTTAAGCAATCATTATCCTGACATTAGCTTAAAAAAAGAACTTTCTCCAATTCACATCATAATGCTTTTGTTGCATGTCTCTGTCTCCTCCTCCTCCTCCTCCTCCTCCTCCTCCTCCATAATTTAGCCATTGTCTATCCATTGCAGGATGAAGGCCCCTGCTGTATGTTTCCAACCAACCCGGTCCTGAGCTTTCTTTTGTCAATTATGCCCACAATACTTTCTGATATCAACAATCCATCTTGTTTTAGGTTTCTTTCGTGGATGCTTTTTATCAAGTGGGATCCATTCTATGACTGCCTTGGTCTACCTGCGATCAGTTCTTGCTATGTGACCAGCCTTCTTTTATTCTCTTGATGATATCATATACTTCCATTTCAACCCTAATCTATGTGCAGGTTTTTCTATCTTATCTTTGACATGCTGAGCATGTATTTTTCCATGGTTCTTTGCACCAATGGAAGGTGATACAATAAAGGAAATTGAATGGCGCATTAAATGCGATTGGCAGGCATTCAGCAAGCTAAGCATAATTTCCCCCCTATGTCCCTAGAGAAAAGTTTTTGATCAATGCTCTAACGTATGCCAGTGAAACATTGACACTAACCTCACAATTGATTGCTGCATGTATTTGACCATAAGAACAATAAACCTTGGTAGTTGAATTGTGAAGCTATTAAGCTAGTTTTATCTGTGGAAGAACTGTTAGGGAAGCAAAACTTGGAAAATGAGAGTTTCCCGCAGTCAAGAACTGTACCACTCATGTTGTTTCACAGAGTGTCAAAGCGCTGCAAAAGACTAACTTTGTTGTGGTTGAGGGTTTTGGCTTGTCTTCCATGCTTGAATAAAAGTGCATGTATGTGACTATATTGTAATGGCCAATTCTCTTTCTGCTTACAGAGCGGGCATATGCCTGCAGTCCGTATATGGGATGTTGCTGAGCGGACCCAGATGGCTGAACTTCAGGAGCATAAGTATGGAGTGGCATGTGTGGCCTTCTCACCAAGCTCCAAGTACATTGTCTCAGTGGGTTATCAGCATGACATGATAGTCAATGTTTGGTCATGGAAGGTAAATTATAGCAAGATTTTTTGTAGTCCTTATGTGAGCATAAGTGAGCTTGCAACTAGAAGTTGCATTATGATATGCCTTCAAAATACCAATGCTGTTTCCTTACAGATAATCTACTCTGAGTTTCTGTCTTCCAGTTTGAGTTTGTTCTTGCTATATATAAGAAGAATACTCAGTCCGAGCTCCAAGGATTGCATGAATTCTTGAAGATAGATAGCACGTGGACTAGAGCCCTTCCTAATTTTGAAATTAAATAGAAGAATGTAATTTAGAACTTGGAGTGCAACCATTCTGATTATTTTTCATCATTTTTATTGAATTTAAAACTCAATGATGCCCGTAGGCCCTGATTCCTTTTGGGAAAATAGGCTTCAGCTCAAAAAGTGGTGCTCACTTCACAAAAGATGTCTGATAAAGCACTAAGCTCTATGTTTGCAATAACTGAAATGAAAGGAGGTTTGTGATGGAGCTGTATGCTAGATTTCAATGAGACAGAAATAATGTTCATTTAATGACCCTCTTCTAGCTTTAAAAATGCAATATTTCATTACTTTGGTTATTAGTATGTAGAATAAACATTCTTGAAATGGCAAAGCAGCCTAGCTAGGAAGATTCTTTGTTACTGCTAAGGCTCACATAATGAAAGATCACACAGATTCGTCTCCTTTTCATTAGATAGATAGATAGATGGGAAACTGCCTAATGCTGGGTCAGGCCACTTTGACATCTCATTCTGTCCTGGTCTGCAGTGATGGATACTGATTTTGAGCTGAAGATGCCAGAAGCCTTCTGGATGTTTGGTACCGCTGCCCCTTTCTTCTCAGGTTGACTGGGTCCACATATTGTACTAACTCATGGTTTATTTTAAGTACGTTTAATTGTGTTAACTGTATTTGGCTGGGTCTACAGAACAAGCTAAGACAAAAAAAATAACCCATGTTACGGCTCTGTTTGATGTTTCTTATGTTTTCGATATTTACTCTCAATGCAAAAAGCTATTAGATATTTTGTTTTAAACAACTGGTAATACATTCTGAGTTTTATTTGGTTTGTCTTCTAAAAATAAGTGGCACACAACTACATGTCACTTCAAGGAGCAAAGATTTGGGTATTTTTTTTTTTTATCTTTAAGGTCTTTTCAAAACATTATTAGGAGTAAATTGTGTGCTTAATTTATTTCCTGGTATAACCAAAATGTGTTCAGTTTATCTGATTATATATGAAAAATCAGAACTATAAATGAGGTTATCTCAAGGGACTAAAATGGCAATGAGTTTTATATGCCAAATTAATGCTGGGCATTTTTTGTTGTTGAAGTTAAGTGTGGTAAACTGTCATTGTTAAGTCTGGATTTGTTCATTCTTATATAATCTTCTGCTCAGCACACTGTGCTGTTAGTCATAAATTCTTTCACTGCTTTTTATCTCTGCATGTTTATTAAGTGGTGTCAAAATACTTTTTTTCTGACCTGGTGAGTCAGGGGTAAATTTACTTCTGGGTTTCTGATATTAGAATGCAACTCCTAGTATATATCTATGCAAAAGATTTTTCTTTCATCTGGGATAGCAGGAGACTATGAGGAGTCATGTTATCTTACCTCTGCAGAATTTAAGGTTAATATCAATGCAGATGCCTAAACCAACGGAAGGCCAAGATTCTTGCTTTCTCTCATAGCTCCTTGATTCGTTGGGAGTCTTCACAAATTACCTCACCATTGGGAATCCCCATGGAGCTCTTGTGTCCCAACTCATGTGATCATGAGGGAGGTAGTTGCAGGCCTTTTTCTGTCCATGAAGATTTTCTCTATTCATGCATCAGCCTTTGCTCTGTTCTGATTCTGTGACCTATCCCTCTTTATTTTACATGTTGTTACTTATGCCAATGGTAGCAACAATCCTAGCCCAATAGTAGTAATATTTTTGTACAGTATTTTTTAATGCACATTTCAAACTTAATTCCCAGTCCCAAACTGCTACAAATTTGCTCACTTAGCCTTCATGCACGCAATGGCCAAATTGATTAATAGTGTATAAAGGCAGGTAGCTCTTTAATGATTTTTATACTCTGACGATGTTAGCTGTGGCTAATGAAAGGTAAGCGAGCAATATATTTTAAAGTTCCAGAGATTGCAATGTCTGTTTCTTTACACACACACACACACACACACACACACACACACACACAATCACTTGATCTGTGGGAGGCTGTAGTATTTCCATGTATACACTCTGGGAGGTATTGCTGTGTATTCCTAGAGGTCTTGTGCCTAAATCAAACAAATAGATTTAATTAGCAGAACATCTGACTTGCTCAACTGTCTTCTTTCCAGAAAAACATTGTTGTGGCAGCCAATAAAGTCTCAAGCAAAGTGACAGCAGTTTCATTCTCTGAGGATTGCAGCTATTTTGTTACAGCTGGAAACCGGCACATCAAATTTTGGTACCTGGCTGATAGCAAAACCTCTAAGGTAAAGGACGTTGTTGAGGCTGTTAAAAGAAGGGGAGATATTCATGACTAAGAGAATTATGTGAGATCTATGATTATTTCTGAAAAGTGTTGATCAAACCCAAAGCGAAACTGTCTTGACATGTTGTTCTTTCATATCAGGTGAATGCTACGGTCCCCTTGCTTGGGCGTTCTGGTTTGCTTGGAGAATTGAGGAACAATTTTTTTACAGATGTGGCATGCGGCAGGGGTAAAAAAGCAGACAGCACTTTTTGTATCACTTCCTCTGGTCTGCTGTGTGAATTCAATGACAAGAGGCTCCTGGACAAGTGGGTGGAATTGAGGGTAAGTAGCCTGTGGCACTTGGGTATCTGTTCATTTTGGGGTGAGAAGATCTTTCTGTTCTACCAGCTTTCTTAGCGCAGGATTTTGAAAACCTAGGACGCAGAAATGGATGTTTGGATGGGGTGATGTCTGGCACCTTCTGTATGAAAAAAAATGGGATCTAAGTAGCTAGGTATGAGCCATATAATGAGGACGATCAACAATGGAACAGACGTTGCCTTCAGATATTGTGCGGCTTCATCACTGGAAGCTTCAAAAAGAGACTGGATTGCCATTTGTCAGAAATGGTGTAAGATCTCCTGCTTGGGCAGGGAGGTTGGACAAGATGACCTTCCAACTCTGATAATCTGAATGTACTATACAGGTAGTCCTCGACTTAAAACAGTTCATTTAGCGATCATTCAAAGTTACAGCATCACTGAAAAAAGTGACTTATGACCATTTTTCACACTTATGACCGTTGCAGCATTCTTAGGATCAAAATTCAGATGCTTGGCAACTGGTTCAATGGGACCATTTGCTGTTTCCCAAGGTCATGTGATCACCTTTTACCACCTTCTGACAAGCAAAGTCAATGGGGAAGTCAGGTTCACTTAACAACAGTGGCAACAAAGGTCATAAAATGTGGCAAAATTCACTTAAATGTCTCACTTAGTAACATAAATTTTGGGCTCAATTGTGATCATAAGTTGAGGACTACCTATATAAGAATGGCAATCCTTTTCTCCAAGTGTTTGCTCCTAACTATCTTTGAGTATTAGAAGTGTATTTCATGAGGAGAAATCACTGAGGAGAAATAGGTGTTCTTTAGAAAAGTTCACCACCTTTTTTATCCGTGTGCTTTTAAATTGCATTCTTATTCTCTGTTTGATATATATTTAACTGTCACTTCCTGTAGTTTTGTAAATCTTGCAGAGTTTCACTCTGGCCAAAAATAGTCTCAAAACTGCTGGAGATCATGGCATCAGAAGGTACCTACTTCATTAGCAAACAATTAATTTTACAGCCCATTCCTAATATAAGCACAAGCTATTTTAGATCTGCTCAGTTGTGCTTGTATCCATACAGCCATGTATTAGTACTCTGCTTCAGTTGCGTAACCAAGATAGAAAAAGAATGATTGGTTGAAGTCCACCTGTCAGGAAGAACTTTCATGTAAATTGATTTTTCCTTAGACCTAAATATTTCTTAGATCTGTGTCTCGATTTCCCAGTCTATATAGATCCTGAATGATGTGTTTTTGTTGAAAGTCATTGTGAAAATCTTTTCCTCCTAATGAAATGGTAAATGCAAAGATTTAGGCCTTTTCTCCCTTTTTTAAATAAAGGAACCCACCTCCTAAGTCCTTGCTTACTCTTCAAACTGAATGCTCTCTCTCTCTCTCTCTCTCTCTCTCTCTCTCTCTCTNTTTTTAATTTTTTTCGTCGCGCTGCTGATGACGTCAGGTACGCGCTTTCGTCGAGCGTGCTTTTGTCGACCGCGGTTTTGACGGGTCACGAAAAAACCACCATATTTGTACAACTCCAAATAAAGAAGAAATGGAAAAAAAACAGCTCTGTCCATTTTTGTGATCAATCCTCTCCACTTTGTATCGTTGTTCTACTCCCTGCATTTCCCCACTCCCTTACAACAAGTAGATAAAGGGACTAAAATGTTGCCTTTCCATGCTGTTTGCAATCGAACATATAATGTCTTGGTATTAGAATGGGTGAAACCATTGAATGGGTTTGCAGAAAGGTGGAAAGAGACAGCGGTTGAGGAATAATTTTGGGTTGTGATTGCTTACAAAGAAAAATAGAAATTTGGTTATTGTTGTTGCTGTGCTGATGTTTAAGAAATCTGCCGGTCTAGAGGTCAGCCTGATTTAAAAGGCCCAGAGCCCTGAATCCAGGAGAAAGTGTGTTAGCATCTTGATTGGGGACATGGTGATAGGGATGCAGTCTAGTTACTGAACCTGGTGAAACACTTGATATTGACCCTGAGAAAAGCCTTAAAGAAAATAGTACAATTGTTATACCTTATGAGAGAGAGGTTCCTAGTGCTTTGTCCTCTTGAGAGATCCTGCAGGCATTCTCATTAAAAGAATCTGTCCTTACTTCTCAGCACCAAGTAGAGGTTATATTGTGCACAGCATTGTAATCTGATATAATGATTCAGACTATTAAGATTAGCTTCCCCTAGTTGGGCGTCTTCCAAATCTGTTGGAAGGGAGTTTTGGTCATGTTGGCTGGGAAGTGGGTGAATACAGGCCAAGAGTTCTAGGAGAGGCTGCTCTCCATAAATGCAGCTTCTCTGTCACATGTGCCTTTGGACTTTAGTTTGCACTGTAAGTTGTCCAGCCTCTGAAGATGTCATGTTATGTCATGGTGCCTGTTGGGTATAACCAAAAAACAGGTTACCATTATTGGGTATCATTGGACTTTGAAAGCGTAAGATCTTCCCCTCTTAAGCAAATGTTGCCAGCATGAACTGCAAACCTGCTGAGTTGAGTGCAGAATGTCAATAATCTTTTCCTTCTAACTCTTATCATCACCCTGGTTATTCTTTCGATTTGATTATTTGAATTAAACCACATGAACTGGATGAGCCCTGTACTCCTGAGTCATAGACTTTCAGGATCTGCTTTTTCTAAACTGAAGAGATATTTTGCTTATCATTTCTGAGCCAAGTTTCATGGAAAATGACAGTCATCTGTGTCACAGCCAAGCTAAGTGGTATGATGTGGGAACAGATATCACTCTGTATTTCTCCAGCCAAAAAATCTGCTCAGCACATATTTAAATATACTATAGTAAAGAGTAAATCATGCCAAATGTTGAATGACAATTTCTTTCTTTCTTTCTTTCTTTCTTTCTTTCTTTCTTTCTTTCTTTCNACATCAGCTCTTTTCCAGTCCTCTGGCAGTTCCCCAGTGCTCCAGGATCTCTGAAATATATAGTTCAGTGGTTCTGAGATCGCGTCTGCCAGTTTGATCTTGATTGTATCTCTATTAATGCAGTTTAGGATTGTGTTGGCTTTTTTGGCTGCCGCTGCACGCTGCTGGCTCATATTTAACCACTAAGACTACAAGATCCCTCTCACAGTTACTGCTATTAAGCCTGGTTTCACCCACTCTATACATGTGTACTTTTGGTTTTTCTTGCCAAAGTGTAAGACTTTACTTTTCTCTAAATTGAATTTCATTTTGTTGCCATCGGAGTTGTATAGAATGTCTTTCTGCAAGAAGAACTTTCTGTGCCATCCTGAATGCCAAAAGGGAAGGAACTAAGCCTTTCTGGGAGGGGGAGAGCATATTCCATGACACGGGGCAATGTTTCTTTGTGCCCCATGCTCATCTCACCCTCTTGCTAAGGTAGGGCCATAAGCAGATCTTTTAAAATCATCTTGTAGACAGGATCATTTTCGATAAGTTCAGTTAGTAAATCTCTTTTCCGCATGTGAGATAAATTCCTTTTATTCTCAGCAGTATCTGCAACCCAAGAATTGGCCCACCTATCCTGGACTGGCCTAAGACATTGGGCTACTTGAGGTGAAGGGATTTATTGGACTGGTGGTGAAGTCTTAACTTCAGTCCTGCAATGGGATGCATAACGAAAGCTTTAGTTCTATCAACACATCAAGGAGCTGCCATAAGCTACAACATGTGGGGTTTCATCTCTTGACTCAGGAGCCACAGCTCATGTGTTAAACAACAGAATATGTCTCTTGAACCACTTTTTGTTTACTCCTAGTCTGTGTGTTCATCTCTAACTTCTGTCTCTTTCCTTTCTTGGTGAAAAAAGGGAAGTAGTTTGCAGTTCACCTTAGAAAGCCTTTCAACTGCCTCGTTTCCCTTATTTTGTATATAGAATCTAGGCTATGAATGGGAAGAAACCTTCAGCAAGTTTGTGAAAACAATCTCTCAACCGTCACACCGTATTCAGATTTAATAATGATGGAAAGCCTTAAGCTTCTTTTATTTATTTATACAATATTTTATTTTAACAGGCCAAAGTATTCTCGTTGCCCTCTTGCAGTTTCTTGCCACATGCTTATGTGTGTGTTTTGTTGACGTTGCTGCTGAGGCTCTGTATCCTAGAAACAAGAAGTAAAACAAAACTAAAACTCCTCAGAGGTTACTACTGAAGAGTAAAAGGACGTAAAGAGGAGAAACTCATCCATCTGAATTCCGAGTCAGATGCTTTATAGCTCAATTTACTTAATACGTATCTTTAAAAAAGAAAAAATAGCAAGGCTGTAAACATTTGCTTCAGGAAAAGCCACATATACTTATGGAACCCCTTTCCCCCAAGTTGTTCACCATCCTTCACCACCTCCTCCTTCAGGTAAATGTTTTACATGCCGTAGCTGACAATTTATAATCTGCCTGGTTAGACTCAAGTTAAGCCCAAGCAATTTATAAGACTAGGGCTGTTTTGTGTCTAATTTCGGTCACCTACTAATATTGTTTGGAATATAATGAAAAACACAGTATAAGCTTTCATAGGGATTTGAAACGATTTAAAGGGAAAAAAACCGGTTCCACCACAAAACCACGGTGGACAAAAGCGCGCTCGACGAAAGCGCGTACGTGACGTCATCACAGAGCGACGAAAACATCGCGCT